TGCCCTAAAGGTCTGGAACTAAGTGGGTATCTTTTATGCTTTCATTGTTAATCATACTTGTTCTTGGAGGTTGACATTCTACATACTTCTATAATTTGTTGTCTCCATTACTCAGGTGTAACTGTTCTTATTTTATTGCCCTCATCCTTTCTAGGGCTTAGGAAGTTGATGTTAAATTCCCTGTTTAGGTTTTAAGTGGTTGTTGTTAAATTTCCCTTTCTAGGGTTTATGTTTGTGTTTGTGTGTTTCATCCCTTTGATTTGTTTAGGGAGGTGTTCATCCCTAGTGTGATTCTAGGGTTTGTGTTTGTGTCTGTGTTTTCATCCCTTTGACTTGTTCAGGGAAGTGTTCATCCCTAGTGTGATTCTAAATAGGTGTTCATCCTTAGTGGGATTCTAAGGAGGTATTTTCATCCTTTGATTTGTTCAGAGGAGGTGTTCATCCCTAGTGAGATTCTGGGGAGGTGTTCATCCTTAGTGGGATTAGTGAGATTCTAAGGATATGTTTGTCTTTTAGATTAGTTTTCTTTTTACTGGTCCTCTGCTGAGTTGATTGTAATTTGTAACTGAATTTGAAAGATAGTGAATTGTGGTCACTCTTGTGATTAAAGTTGATTGGGAACGGGATGTAAGGTTGGCTATACCCGAACCAGTATAAATTTTTATGTGTTATTCTATTACCTTTATCTCTTTAACAACACCGCATCCTATATCTCCACACTTGAATCTTTCCCTTTATCTATATGATTATTTCGCTTTGGCTTTTATCTATATTTTATCTCGATAATTAAAATTGAATTAATAAATTATTGGACATTTTAAAATAAATTTTTAATTTAACATCTATTTTAATTTGTGCATCTATTTACCCCCTCTAGATGTCATTTGTCTAACAATATACCCATACTTTCCTACTAAAATCATCCGTGAAAGTAAGTATATACCTTTTATTCCCATTAGATATAGGATTGATGGGCCACATATATCATAATGGACTAGTTGCAACACTTGAGATGCACGTCAATTGCTTTGACGTGGAAAATGATCTCTTTAATGCTTTCCTTTGAGACAATGTTCACACAGTTGAGTTGGGGACTTTAAGGTAGGTAGTCCTTTCACCATATCATGCTTTAACAATGTTTCTAATCCACTATAACTCAAGTGACCATAATGAGAGTGTCAGACTTAAGTTATTGTTGGCTTTGAACTTAATTCAAAGCAATGGTAGGAAACTCTAGATTTTACAAAGGTAACAAACATGCGATTAGTAGTCATAGATGTTTTAATTATCAAATCCTCTCCTTGAAACATTTCAATCCTTAATCTTTCTTCTAAAAATTCCACACTAAATAAATTATTCTTTAACTCATAACATAAAATATATCTGAAACCACATGCATAACTTTATTAATTAGCAATTTAACCGTACCCTTTCCTGTCACCTTTAAAACATAGTTATTCTCCAACTTTAGTTCATCAGAAAAAATAGAATCCATAGAAGAAAACCAGTCCTTTCTACCTGTCATGTGATTGCTGCAGCCTAAGTGAACCACATATCTTGTTTCTTTGGATATTCATATGGGAAGTAGTAGCACTCTATGGTTTACTTATTCATAAATTGTCTACCTCTTCTCCTTCTTCCTCTTGCATATGCTCCTTGGAAAACACTTTTTCCCTGTCCATTATCAACGATTGTCTCCTCCTATGAAACATTCAATACTTGCTCTTCATGAGAATTGTGTCCATTCATTCTCTACTCATGTACTAATAGACTAGTTTGGAGTTCATCTATAGTCATGAAATCTAAATAATGAGATTTCTCAATCCATAATCGTAACTCAAAGTCATTGAACTAATAATTTTTTCAATAATAGTAAGGTCAGATACCTACTCATCTTACATTCTCATCTTGTTTGTTATTGTGAAAGTTCGAGCAAAGTAATCACTAATTACACCATTCTTCATCTGCAGAATCCCTCATTCGCATCGTAGAGCCTGTAGTTAGTGCCTTATATTTTTGTTTCAATGAATCCTAAATTTCGTGTCTTCTTTAATATTGTTTTAAGCACGGTTCTATCAATAGCTTCTATCAATAGTTTGAAACAAGTAGTTTTTTACCTTCAAATCTTTTATTTCAACTCCTCTAGAGCTTTTCCTCGTTATCTGGTAAAACAGTCTCATTTGCATGTTGTGGAATTACAGTAACTATAAGATTTCAATACTCTTTCAATACTCTTTTGACTTAAGGAAATTATGCATTAACAATGCTCAATGGTCGTAATATTCATTCAATTTTGAAATTGCAGATTGCACGAAATCACTGTTCGGACATGATAGAAGTCTACATCTTCTTTTCAATGTAAATTGAAACTGGATTTGATACGTTATATCAGAAAACTGTTATTTCTTAGTAAAATAAAAAACTAAATATATGAATTTAGCATGAACTAGAAAATAAAAAAGAATAAGAAAGATAACTCTCACGTACTAACAAACTCTCACATACTAACAAAAATAATATTCACATACTGCTTGTGAATCATGTACAAAATTTAAATTACATATTACAAAATTTAAATTACAACAAACAAATAAAACTTTATTATATATGAACACGTAAGCTAAAAACTAAACGTCAAGAACATGTTTGAAAGAGGCATAAATGAATGTTTTTGAACATTTAAATTACAAACTTCAAATTCAGATAACAGAATGAAATTAAGTTACAACAACACCACACAAGATATAAATAAAACATAAAAGAAGAAAAAATCAAAACAAAAACAGTTACAGGACGTCAAGGGTAAATAAAGGGAGATCCGTAGCCCTAAACATTGAAAAACTAAGCCGATAAAAAAAATAATGAAAAATTGATCACTTTTTTTTTTTAAATCCACTTTTTTCTAAGTATATTTTTGGAAGGTTATTTATAATTTGATTGTATTTTATTTATAAATATTAAATATGTTATAAAAAAATTGGATTATAATTGTTAATTATAAGATTTTGTAATTTGTTTATAAATTTAAAATAATTAAAATTATGAATGTAATAATAATCAAATAACAAAAATTATATAATATTTTTTTATTTGAGATTTTTTTATTATAAAATATTTAACCATTTATGATAACAAAAATTATAATATTAATTTAAAGTAAATTAAGAATATTGGTTTGATTTTACTGGAGTTTTATATAAAATTAAAATCAAACCAAATTAAATCGAATTTGATTTTTGTTTGGTTTGAAAAATTATTTAATGAAAAATCAAACCTTCGTGAACACCTTTAATATTGTGATGTGAGAAAATAATTGGGAAAACATGGAATGTAATAGTAGATAACATAAATGCAAGATTTGTTGAGCTAACAAAAAAAGCTTATTATCTATAAAATATTACCTATGGATAAAAATTCATAGGTAAATTGTACATTATATACGAGATATTATCTACGGATAAAAATCCATAGATAAATTGTACATTACATACAAATATTACCTACAAAATTTTATCTGTGGGTAATTATCCATTACCTACGGATATTTTCTGTAGGTAATGTCATATGTGGATAATTTCGTAGGTAAACCTACGTAATTACTATCCGTAGGTAATTTACCTATGGAATTACAATCTGTAGGTAAATTATATCAAATTAAAATACATTGTATGTAAGTTATCCATTACCTACGGATATTATCGATAGGTAATGTCATCCGTGGGTAATTCCGTAGGTAAATTATATCAAATTAAAAAAATTGTAACCGACAGGATTTGAACCAATACCTTAGAGTTGAAAACTCGATACTCCAACAATTAAATATATAAATATATCAAAATATAAATATATCAAAATATAAATATATTTGTATTTATATATTTTATATTTATATATCTTATATTTTATATTTATATATTTTATATTTATATATTTTATATTTATATATTTACACGGATAAATATAATTTATTTGTAAGTTATTATTAGAATATCATAATAGCTTAGTGGTTGGAGTATCGGTTTAACTTATTACCTACTGGATTATAATCCGTAGGTAATAAACAAACTTTTTCTTTGTAGTGGAAGATGCTCGAAAAATGAAGTAAGAAGGAAGATCTAATTTTTAAAATCATAAAAAAAATGCAATCTAACTCGTCGATTCGGTGGTGAACTTGTAGGTCTGCTCAAATTTACAAGAGTTAATACGAATTTATCTCATATATAAGTTTATGATCAATTTACTTATGATTATTATTCCCATTTGCAAACTTATCAAAAATTAGCCCCTTAACTTGCATATTTGATATATATGCCTAATTTTTTAATGCAAAGTAATATAAACCATTTCGTGTATTGTTCTTGAATAAAAGAGAGATGTCCTTTTAGGGTTTTTTCTTCTCTTTTATAATTATTTTTTTTTCTTTAGGGTTTTTCTCCTGGCGCATCTATTGGGTCCAATAATACTTAGATTTGGGCTCCATCAGGGTCAAACTCTATTTACGCACCACAGCCCCCTAGTATTAAATTAGAAAAATATTTCTAATGCAAAAACTAATAACCGAAATAAATATCGAATACACTTCATTCCTTAATATTTCATGATATAATTGTTAAGTTCAACCACTTAAAAGGAATAAACAATCCTTAAAAATCATACTTACAATGACCGTCGTCTTGATATAGAGTGTGAAAATTGTTTTTGCGTGAATTTAAATTTAATCGAAGATTAACCTTCTTAGGTCGCATTTCGACCATAGTGCGGATTTCGCACATTACTCGCATTTCGGGTCTAGGACACATTTTGACCATAATACAGATTTCGTACATGGTACGTATTTCGCCCATTTTTCGGTTTTCGAGCGTAGTACGGATTGCGCACGTTGCTCAGTTTTCGAGCGTATTACAAATTGCGTACTTAGGCGGATTGCACACGTTGTTCGGTTTTCAAGCGTAGTATGGATTGCACAACTAGTGCGGATTTGACATGCTCGGTTTTCGAGCTTACGTCACATTTTGACCATATATCCCAATGAGGGAAAGTGCCAACTTGGTAGAGGCCTCCAACATCCAGGCTTCACTCCCCGGAGTACAGGATCGTTACTGATCAAGTCAATAAATGGTGGGATGCCTAGAGGGGTTCCATTTGTCAGCAAATCACCTTCTGCTACTCCTGGTCATAATAGAAGCAAGATCAAAGCGAAAACCATCCACATGCATTTCTGTAACCCAATATCTTAAGCAGTCCACTATAAATTGTCGTACAACAGGATGGCTGCAATTGAATGTGTTTCCTTGATTCGCTTCCATGTCCCTGCGTCCCAAAATTGAGAAGGTCGATGTCCCCGTCGTCGACATTAATAGCGATAGTGACGACGACGTCACGACCTTTTCATTCGTGTATTTAAACCAGCTTGCTTTTGGGTGATCTTCTCAAGAGAGTATCCAAGGCGTCCTTCTGCCTCTTGAGGTACAAAGGCCGAACTAACAGACGTGCAACAATACTCCGCACATTCTCGACTAGATTCGGGAAAGCTATCATTTTCACGCAGAGCTATGATAGATTCAAACTTCTGTACTCTAATGCCCAAGCCATTATTATCCTCCATGAGTGAAAAGTCAAGCACTCTTTTTGCTGGCTTATGACACGCTGATGAAACTTGGATAGGCATGTCCTGAAGCTTAACATCAGAAATAGGCAATAATCTTGCAGGTGCTAACTGGGCAGGAGTCTCGGTCATAAAACTATCAGCGGTGCAGGAGATATGTTTCATATCTGGGGTTTCAGAATTACTGCAAGTAACAGAATGTAAAGGACGGATCATATGTACCGGTGTATTAACAACATTAGTTTGAAAAGTCGTAGAAAAAGATTCCTTCTGGTGATCCACTTGATCAGATAATGGTACACTTCCTTTCTGCAGTCCCTTTTCACTTTCTTCGTTTTCCACATGTGATGATGGAGAAGTTTTTGTGGATGAAAGCCCCTGCTCCCTTTCTGCGTGGTATACAATATTCTTCCCGGAGAAATGCCTACGAAAAGACGGACATAACTGGAATTGCTCCTGCAAGGTCTCGCTTTGATTGGAATCTGGCACAAGTTTCGTTGAATCTAGAGACTGGTCTGAATATTCTATCGCATGTGAATTTTCACAATTCAAGATAAAAGTTTTCTTGTCATGAACAAGCACCTTATCTGTACATACACCTTCAGGGAGTATATACTTCATCTGCGCAAGATGTGCATGGGAGAATTCCCTCTTCGACAGAACTTCGACCTGGCGGTAAACATTTTCAAAAGTTGGAGTCTTTTTGCACAGTCGCAACAATCTGAGGGAGCAACTCATGTGACCAAACAAATCTATCAGGAACATATTGGTATGTCCCTCTCTGGATTTGATTGTCAAGGGTTCATTGTTCTTTTGAGGGGTGGGGCATACGATTGATTTATGATCTGCTTCGAGATCCTTCTCACACTCCAAATCCGAAGCATTTTTTAACGATTCCTCACAGGCTATTTGTTCCATTCTGCTATAGTGGTGAAAAACCGATGGAAACCCTAGCAGAGCTTACTCTGCTAATACTCGCAAGGGAATGTGTGCCTATTCAAATGTGGACGACGGGGACGTCGGCTTTCTCAATAAAGACACGGGAGAACGATAAAGAGCGTGATGCAGCAACCTTGGCAGACGGGGGAAGTCGCGGCGGCAACGGAGATTCAGCGCCGGAGCTAAAACACAGCACGTCAATGGAAGCTATCCTGAGGCTACGACGGGTACGATAGTTAAAGCACATGCGGCACGACAACGTGGTAATGTCGTTAGGCACAAAGCTATTGTTTTTAAAGGTGGAGTAGGAAAAACTTTACCGACGGTAATGTTGAATAAAACAGAAATGTTCGTTTAAGTTTTTTCTTTCTAATTTATAATAATTTTTTTTTTAAGATATTTGTTGAGCTCAATAATACTTAGATTGGATATTTATGTCTAATTTTTTAATGCAAAGTAATATAAACCATTTCGTACTAATTTTATATATAGAATTAAATTTGATTTTTATTTTAAAATATATTAAAATAAGAACATAACACATAAAATATATGATAAAAGAGTTATATTCATTTAGAAAGATGTCATACAACGTAGAACAAAAGTACGTCAAATATCCCATTTATGCATATAAAAAAAACTAATATCCAAAAAATCGTTTAAGAATACGTTTCATTCACTAAAATGCAGTTTGGAGCACAATTAAATAAATCTCCTCATAATTATTTTTTAAATGTTATAAGAGAGAAGGAATAAAAAAATTTAGAGATAAGGAACCAAATATTTTAATTATGTTTATTATAAAACTCATTCATTATTACATATTTTACATAATAAATTGCTTAACAATATTTTTAATATTACGGATTAAAGTTTATTTTATTATTTTTTTTCTAAAAAATGAATTTAATTTTTTTTCTTTAAATATCTGTAAAACTCAATTTAGTTTTTTTCCTTCATATTTTAACATCAAAATTATCCATCATAAAATATTAAAACAACTAATTAATTAATAAAAAATAATATACTTAATAATGAATAATAATAAAAACATTATTTCCTTAAAAAGAAGTGAAGACTAAAAAAAAAATACAAAATGACAAAGAAAAGAGTAGAAAAATAAAAATAAAATGACGAATATTTGGAGTTGAAATAGAAAAAAAAATATAAATAAAAATAATAGATTTATTAGAAGTATTTATTTTTATAAACGAATAAAAATATAATAATTGTTTTTTTTGCCTAGAGTTGTCAATATGGGTTCTCTAAGCAAACCTAGCTCACCATGGGTTCGAGTCGATTGCAATTGATTTTTTTTTTTTTACCGTTAATGGATTAAAAATGAATAGAACTCACTTAACCTATGGGTTAAGCGGATCCGAGCCGGATTATCGTGAGTTGATCCACAACCTAGCATTCATTTTAAATTTTAAAAATAATTATAATAATTTAGTAATTTGATGTAGACATAAAGGTCCAAGCCCATAACGAGAAGGATCAAGACCAAGATCCAATCCAAGACTTAGGTGGACCTATGACAAAAGATAGACTTAGAAAAGCACAAGAGGCATTGCAATACAAAGTGACCAATTTGCTAAAGGCCCAACTATTAAAAGATCCAAACATGGAGGAGTCTAGACCTACCACATGCATAGAATGTTTGGAGAGCTAGGAGGCCCAACTAAAAGATTTAGTTATTATTATTATTATTATTATTATTATTTTATTTGCTATAGTGGGGATTTGAACCCAAGACCCAAAGCTTATAATGCCTTCACTGAACCATCTGGGTAACTTAACTTTGCATTAACTTGTATTAAACATTTGGGAATTCAGAATGAAGAGAGGGAATATTCAGATAACTTTGTGAGTTGTTGTTCTGCTAGGGTTCTTCCTTGCATCACTTGATCTTATCAAGAATTATTCGATTCTTGTGGCGATCCTCTTGGCTTATCAAATATTCTTATTTGTGGCGCCTACGGTATCTTTTATGTTTTTCTATTTTTTTTTTATTTCTAATCAAATCAACTCTTAAAACCTAACCGTAAATTGTTTCCCTTCTATTTGAGTGTCGTCATTTGGTATTTAGAGCAGGGTTCAAAAGCGGTACTGTTCATCGGCACTATTCACGGGGGGTACTGTTCATTGTTCGCTGTTCACGTGCATCGTTCATTGTCACCTGTTCACGTCATCGTTCATTGTCATCGTTCAAAAAAATTGTCGTTTATGCAATTTTGATATTGAATTTCATTTAGATATATATATATATATATATATATATATATGTATATATATATATATGTATGTATATATATATATATATATATATATGTATATATATATATCAAAGTTGTGTTTGAAATTAGTTTTCTGCAGAAAGGAACAAAAAAAAGTAAAAGAAACAAAAAAAAGGAAAAGAATAAAAAAAAAAGAAAAGAATCAAAAAAAAGAAAAGAATCAAAAAAGGAAAAGAATCAAAAGAAGAAAAGAATCGAAAAAAAAATTATATATATATATATATGTGGCATTTGTTCTTTTTTTAAATTTTAGTGCACATTAGCTGTTTGATAAAATTCCTAAGTGTCAAGTGTCTTTGTCTAATCTTTGTTTTTTCCATACAGTTTAGATTTGTCTTGCTTGTTGTTAGTAGTAAAATTGTTCTTTGCTACTTGTCCTTTGTTGGTACTACAATTCTGTTTTATTCCTTGTGATTGCTACAGTTGAAAGTGATTCTTGAACTATAGATTGTTTGATTCTTGTAAGAACCATAAGTCAGAGAACGAGTGGAAAAAGGCAATAGTGCATATTATACAAAAGCCAAATTGAGAGTAAACACGAGTGGTACATCTTTGAGTGCAAACACGTGAGAAGAGTGGTGAGGTCCTATTACTTCATTTGTTTGGTCCTTTCTTCTTTTTTTACTTGAAAGATGGCAGGTGCAGGTGATGGTGGTGGTACCCCTCCTCTAGGGGATGACAATAGATTATTGATTGATGCCATTACGGCCCAAATGCAAAGAATGTTGACGAGAACATACCGAGGAGTTGTATGGGAGAATTGAACAACTAGAAAATCAAGGAAATGATGATGATGGTGGAGGTAGAAGGAGGAGAAGGAGAAATAATGAAGGTGATGTTAGAGATAACGGAATTGAAGGAGTAAAGTCTGAACATACCCCCTTTTCAAGAAAAGAGTGATCCGGAAGCATATTTGGAGTGAGAAATAAAAATTGAGCAACTATTTGCATGCCATAATTACACGGAAGATAAAAAGATGAGGGTGACAGCCATGGAATTCACTCGATTATGCTCTCATTTGGTGGAACCAATTACAAAGGGAAAGGGTGAGATATGAAGAACCCTTGGTGGAAAGTTGGGAAGAAATGAAGAGGTTGATGAGAAGAAGATTTGTTCCTTCTCATTATCAAAGAGATCTTCACAACAAGCTCCAAAGACTCATACAAGGTAGTAGAGGTGTTGATGAATATTACAAAGAGATGGAGGTTTCCATGATTAGGGCTAATGTTATGGAGGCACGGGAGGCTACTATGGCCCGATTCCTACATGGGCTAAATAGTGATATAAGGGATGTTGTGGAGCTGCAAAATTATGTTGAGTTGGAGGATTTAGTACATCAAGCTTCAAAGGTGGAACAACAATTAAAGAGAAAGGGTGCCATGAGGAGGAGTTCATCTAATTTTCACACTCCTAGTTGGAAGGACAAAAATAAGAAGGAGGGAGGATCATCAACAAGCAATTCCAATGTTATAGCTCATAAAAATCAAAATAAGTCTGATGAGACACTTAAGAAAACAAGGAGTAGTGAGGTTAAGTGCTTCAAATGTTTGGGAAGAGGTCACATAGCTTCTCAATGTCCCACTAAGAAGACTATGTTACTTAAGGAGGATGAAGAAATAATTAGTGAATCTTCTTCAGATTCTTCATCTGGTGATGAAAATGAGCATGAAGATGAAAGAGAGTTAGAAGGAGATTTGTTCATGATTAGAAGGATGTTGGGTAGTCAATCAGTTGAATTGGATGATTGTCAAAGAGAAAATATTTTTCATGCAAGGTGCCTCATTCAAGGGAAGTTGTGCTCTTTGATCATTGATGGTGGGAGTTGCACTAATGTGGCTAGTGCACGGTTGGTTTCAAAAATGAATTTGGAGACTAAGCCACACCCGCGGCCTTACAAACTTCAATGGCTTAGTGAAGATGGTGAGATGACCGTGAATATGCAAGTTGAAGTGGGTTTTTCCATAGGAAAATATGAATATTCTGTTTTGTGTGATGTGGTGCCTATGGAGGCTTGTCATTTACTTCTTGGGAGACCATGGCAGTATGATAGGAGAGTTATGCATGATGGTTTCACTAATAAGTTCTCTTTATGCATAAAGACCACAAACCTACTCTTGCACCTTTGGTTCCAAGAGAAGTTAGTGAGGATCAACTGAAAATGAGAAAGAAAAGAAAAGAAGAAAGAAAAGAAAAAGAGAGAGAAAAGAGAAAAGAAAAAGAGAGTGCCAAAAAATCAAATCTGTTTATAAAAGAAAAAGAAGTCAAAAGAGCTATGCAATTGAGAAAGTCAATACTTTTACTTTTGAGTAAAGAAAGTAAATCAAACAGTCCATGTTTTACTAACTCTCTTCCAAAAGAGGTTTCTTCTTTGTTGCAGGATTTTGAAGATGTTTTTCCGAAAGAAGTGCCTATAGGTCTACCCCCTCTTAGGGGTATTGAACATAAAATTGACCTTATTCCAGGAGCTTCATTGCCTAATAGACCAACCTATCGAAGCAATCCCCAAGAAACCAAGGAGATTCAAAAGCAAGTTGAAGACTTAATGCAAAAGGGGTGGGTTAAAGAAAGCTTGAGTCCATGTGCAGTCCCAGTCATTCTAGTCCCTAAGAAAGATGGGACTTGGAGGATGTGCACAGATTGTAGAGCTATCAATAACATCACGGTAAAGTATAGACATCCCAT